CGGCGAGGGCCGCTGCCGGGTGCGCCTGTCCGCGAGCGCTCCCTCGCCCTTCCGCCGCTGTCGCGGCGAAGTGGAGTTGCGGCCCCACAGGGAACCCTCTGAGCGCCCGCAGCCCGCGCCCGCAGCCCTGGAGGGACCGGTCCGCGCCCGCAGCCTCCGGGGCCCTGGAGAGCCGCCCAGGGGTCCGCAGGTTCCCGGCAGCCGGCGGCCCCCAGCCGGGCACGCCCTGCCGTTGCAGGGCGCCTCCTTCTCCGCCACCGAGACCGGATTCCTGGCACATGCAGGAACCTGCTCCTGGGGAGGAGGGAGCGCGAGCTCCGGGGGAGGGAGGAGGGAGGGAGCGGGGACTCTCCTGCCCTCTAGTCGGCTTTTTCCTTTTTATTTCAATATTTTATTTCCTTTATTTTTTCTTAGTTAACCAGATACTAATAACCCGACGTCACTGGTAACATCCACGTGAGAATTTCTAAAAGGACCTTGTGAAAATATTGTTAGTAGAAACTTCACGTTGCTTCGGCACATTTTAACTTGATACCCACCACCTACTGACAAGGCAAGCTCCCCAAATCCTCCTGTCCAGTGCGTTTAATTAAACAGCAGAGGCTGCAATGAAAAGTAATTTAAAATATATTGTTTTGGAAATAACTTGGATATTAAATAGAGCTTTACATAGATAGATGTAAGGACAATTACAACTCTAAAGTGATTAAGGTATGGTTTTTGGGTTTTATTACCAATCACATCTATAGGTTAAAGCGATTAGTCATAATTATCGCTAGTAAGTACCAGAACGTTATAGGCTGGGACTTCCTTAAATACTATTGAAAAACGTATTGAATATGTATTGAAAAACGTTTCCATGGCTTGAATGTATCAAATTTTTAAGCAATGCGCTTCAAAATTGTATTTAGGTAAGTTTAATTGGAAAGTAAATGATATAGTAACTGCCCAGGGACATATTTAAATGGGCCCCCACAGGAATGGAATTTAGCACTTCTTGACAATTTACTAATTAACAATATATTTTATGAGAACTATTAGCAAAGGCTTTTCTCTTAGAGGAAAAAAGAGAAAAGAAAATATCTGTAAAATATATACCATAAAGATTTCTTTCTGGCCCCAGACGGTACATGATAGCATTCTCTTAAAAATACTCAAAGGAAAACCACAGGCTCCTGGCTTTGATACCACAAAGGAAAACTCCCCACAAGCCCAGCAGGGTCCTTGAGAGGAGGAGAAATGACACAGCCCAGCACATGGCTTCAGGGGCGCAGGGGTACTTTGAGATGTGGTCAGTTGAACAGCGAGAAAATAAATGAGGAAACGAGAGTAAATGGCTCAAATAAAGGGCACGGATGGTGGTGTCTTGAGAACACTGTTAACTGAAATGAATGCTACTGACCTCAGTTTTCTCATCTGGAAAATGAGGAAGTTGGATTTGGTTATCTTTTATTTTTCATTCCAGTCCCCAAATTATGATTCTATAACTCTGTGCTTTCACCTGAAACATTTTCATATTGTCGGATTAGGATGGTACTGACTGGGATGATATTCTATTAAGAGAAAAGGAAGCAAAGAAAAGCATTAGAGTTCTATGGGTACTGCCTGGGTCCCGACTCCTCACTCCTGTGCATTTTTCATTTGCATCAAAAGCAGTACGTAACCTCACTCAGAAGCCTGTTGCAAATGCATTAACTCATAATGGGAGTGTTTGAGATGTACACTTAGTCCAAATACCACTGAGTACTTTCAGAAAACTTGACACTTCACTAGGAATTTGGAGGAGATAGTTGTCCTAAGTGCGCCACAGACTTTTTTTTAATGATGTTAAAATGGTAAATTTTGTAAACACTGATTTTACATTCAGCATATCTAACTACGTATTTATAATATGTTTAAGTTATGTTTTAAATCAAAACTGTGCCTCATGGGGATAATTTATATGTATTCAGTTCCTGTTTGTTGACTTTGTTAACTTTCTATTTGTAACACATTGAACTAGATTTAATGAAGGAAAAAATAAAATACCATCTAAAACCCAAAACATGACAGTATTTATTGATGTTTGAACACCAATTATAGATGTCTTAAAGGTATGAAAATAATATGCTCCACGTCTTTAAGCGACTTCCCTCAAATATTTTGTATTAATTTGTATTGTATTTGATTAATGATGTAAATGCCTGTCTTCAAGAGATTTACAGTTTAGTTGAAAATGCAAAGAATATACATAGTTAACCATAATAATAAAATATAACAATAGCAATACTAATAAGCCTTTCCTATATACTCAGCACTGTGCACACCTAACAGGGGTTATTTCCTTTAATCCTTAAAAACGTTCTGTGATGATAATTGACAATTGTATCCCTATTTTATAAGTGGTGAAACGAAGGCACAGAGAGTTTAACTCATCCTTAGTCACACAGTTGACACTGGGATTTAAACTTAAGCCATATATCCTTAAAGCCCATACGTTTAGCCACTATTCTATGATAAAATACACACAAGTTCGGGGCATTGGTAGGAAAATTAACTGTTAGTGGCCACTACAGACTGAGCATAGAAAGGGTTATTCACAGAAGCCTTCTATCAAGAGAGAAGATTTTGAGCCAGGTCTTGAAGGTACTGATAGTCAAATAGTATTTCAGCAGCTTCCCAAATGTTCTGTTTCTCTACTTAGGCTTTTAAAAGGTAGCCAACAATTTATATATGATCTGAGAAGGACAGACAATTATGGGGAAGTCGAATCTGCTCAGCCTGTGACTCATAAACAAAAAGGCTGCCCATCTTGTGCTTACAGAGTCTCATAAGCATCTTTAGGAAATCTCTTCTTTCTCCTTTCTCAAAGTCACAGAAAATCCAACAGTCATTGAGGATGGAAAGATCACTGGAAAGATTCTAATCGAGGGCCAGAAGCATAAAAGGAAAAAAACCCATTTCCGATAAACATAAAATATACAATCTCCCAACTTTAAAGTTGAGACCAAGAAATATGAAATTTGATTAAATAAACACAATACCACAAATGCTAACCCTAATTTGGGTGGCAGTGTGAAAAATGGGGGAGCTCACGGGCAGGACACTTGTCATGATTTTGCAGGTGAGAGACAGAGACTCTGATCCAGGAGATAAAGGGATCCTTTGAGAGATGCTTCTAAGAATCATAACTAAAATGTGATAATTTCTGAGCTATACCTTAGGAAAATGAGGAGACGCTTCTATGCCCCAAGAAGAAAATAGGAGAAGAAAGAAGTCTAAGGAATGCACAGCTGATGTCCTCCGATGAAGTAGGAGAAGAGTGAGGGCTAAGGAGGAGCAGAAGAGGAAAGGAGCATCCAGAGAAAGAATGAAAGGGCTGTCTTGCGCTGTGGAGGGCCCAGCTGTGCCTATGAATTATGCACTTGTCATGGATCCAATTGGTAGGCTTCCTGAAATATATTTCATTAAGAATCACAGCAAGGATATAGGACACAGACTAGGAGACAGCCAGGTGGCTCCAGGGTTGGGATAAGAAGAGGAGAGGAGAGCAAGAGACCAGGGAGGCCAGAGGGAAGAGAGAGGGGAGAGGGACAAGGGGGAGGAGGAAATGAAGATGTCCGCAGTGCAGGGGGGAACGCTCTGTGGGGTAGAAGAAGAGAGAACAGGTACCTGCACAGACGCAGACAGAGGCCTTTGGAAATCTCACTGAGCGCAGTTTTTCAGTTGTTTAGTTTAAATCTGGGCAAATGTGGGGAGAGGGTTCTGGGAGGTAGGGAGATGACACAGGCTACATGTTCCTGTGATCAGAGTCATGTCACTATTGAGTACCTGTCCCTTGGCAGATGACGCTGAGCTAGATTTTCCATCTGTGCACTGTCACTTGCAAGAACCTGTAAAATTCCAGGCCACTAAATTTCCTTCTGTTCTTCAGACCATTTGTTGCTCCCAGAAGTTGGATATTCAAGGGAACTCCTTTCCTATATTCCCTTTTTAAATATTTCCTTCCCTTATCCTCATGTACATGAAGCCCAAGTCATGGGCACTTTACAATATTTTCAAAAAAATTTTTGTTAAATCCAGATAAAAAGACTCCAGTCCTGGCTTGTAGCCTTGGTCTTTCTCTAATCATCCTTATCTGATAAATATTCCCTTTGCTTCTCTTTGTCTCTGACCTCTGGTTTCACAAAGGCATGTCTGACAACATTTACTGATAACATTAGAAATGCTATGTTACATGCCACTTCTACAATTTCTTTATACACTTAGGTTTTCAAGAAGACAAAGAAATAAATGTGCATAAAGCCTGTG